CGTCCCGGCGGATGGGGACATACCATGCGCATCCGCTCGTCCTCCAGGTTCCGCAGCACCGTGGCGAACTCCTGCAGAGACTTGGCTGGAAGGGACACAATGCGCAGTCAGCATTTAACAATGTTTTATTTTATTTTTAAGAGACTGAACAGGGGTTTTTGTTGGGTTGTGGTTTAGGGGGTTGGTTGTTTGGGGTTTTGTATCATCTCTGCTCTCTCCCCAGAAAGGTTTCCAGTTGCCTACAGAAGTGACCGGTAGCAGAGCATCCCCAGAATCCTTTTTCCCACCTCCAGAGAGAACACAGCACCTTTATCTCAAACCTGCCCTACCCAACAGCCGGCTGCTGATCAGCCCATCAGCCTGGCGCACGACTGTGGCTGTCCAGCATGTGCGTCACAGCACAGGGGAAAAAAGAAAGAAAAAAAAAAAAAGAGAAAGCTATTTGTGCTGAGAGACTGGGCACAAATAAATCAGCAAAGTTAAATCAGCGCTAAAGCTCATTTGCCCTCCTGGCTCCAGACAATGTGCACAATCAGCTCTGAAAGTTCAGCTGGGGCAGAAGGGGGATAACACGGAGGGAAGCAGCCGAAGCTGTTGCCCTGCGTAGCGAGAAGCTCGGCGGTGGAGCCAGGCTGGGTTTGGGAAGCACGGCCAGGCTCAGCACTGCAGCCTGCTCTTGGGCAGCAGCTCCTCTCCTCCAGACCCCAGCCCCTTGCAGGGTATTTAACCACGAGCACATCTCCAGATCCCTGCTCTGCAATGCGAAAGGGCCAGATCATCAAGACGGTTTCAGATACGGGCGATCTTCCTCCTTTCCTAGATTTTAGGCTAAATTTAGGTCAAGAAGCAACAATTGATCTCCTTGGGAAAGCTTTGCCGATGCTGAACCAGGAGAAATTTGCCATTTCCAGAGAGCAGGGAAGCACCCAGACAAATTCCCAGGCCCCCGGCATCCCCGTGGGTGTTTCTCCCCTGGACCCTGCTCAGCTCAGGGGCTGGAGCGTGGCTGCAGAGCTCCCCACGGTCCGGCACTGGGACTCACCGATGCAGATCTCGTCATCCGTCTCTGCGTCGCCGATGCAGCGGAACTTGAACTCGTTGAGGGAGTCTGCAAACTTGCGCTTGGCTGCCGACAGGTCTGCCGGAAGAGGGGAAAACACAGATGTTAGAGAAGGAAAAAGCCCACCACCAGCACGATGCAGCCGGCAGGTCCCCACGGGGAGACCCGTCTCAGAAGCCCCGAGAGCACTGCCCTCCTCCTGCGCCCACCCCAGGGACGGGGTGCTGCAGGGTCCCGGCCAGCACCTGCCAAAAATTGCTCCAGGAGATGAAACCTCAAAACATCATGAGAGCCATGCGGGAGCTTGAGCCCAGTGCCACGGGGCAGTGACCCCCAGAGCTGCCACCTCTGCGCGGGCTCCTGCTGCGGCAGGCACGGGCAATACACAGAGGTTTAATGCTTCCCAAGCTGCGGATTCTCTCCTGAGATCGGAATCCCATTAAGTTCTTACTGGCAGTGACCTGAGCGGATCCAGGATTGGCTTTTTGAACCAGCCCCGTAACCCTGCACACACACACACCATCCCGGGCACCGCGAGGCCACCGGCTTGGAGAGGAGCTCGAGGGACTGCAGGCACGCAGACAGTGCTAGGAAGACGTAACGCTAATTCCCCTGGGCATTTCTTCACTCAAAGTCCAGAAATTCCGTGGTTTTTCTTCCTTTCCAAGCACAGGTACAAAACACGTGTGTGCACAAAGGCCATTTCCTCCTCCCGGACACCAAAAGATAACTGCCAAAGAATTCCAGCACTTTGCTTCTCCCATGGGATAAGGGAGTTCACAGCTTTCTCCAAGCATTAAAGCTGCTCTCGGAGTGTCTCAGAGCCCTGGGGCTAATCCTGCCCACGGCTGGGTCCTGGTGCAGCTCGTCCCTCTCCTCCCCTATGTGCAGCAGGGGCAGCCGGAGCGCTCGGGGACTTTAACCCTGTCCCTGGAGCCGGGTGGCCTCCTGCCTCCTCCAGAACACTAATGAAGACGACATTAATGACTTCAGGAGTCATTTCCTCTTTCCCAGCTCTGTGCTGACCACCAGCCACGCTCTCCCCACCGTGAAGCCTTCAGAGCTGGCGGCATCCACCAGCAGTGGCCCACGGCGCTTATAAATAGGCGAGGGAGAGGCAGGGGGAGAAGGGAGATAATTCCTGGTGCGACAGAGATAAAGGAGGATCGCTGGCAGCCCTTGCTGGACGACACAGCCCAGTCGCAGGGGCGAAGCAGATGCTAAAATTAGCAGCAGGCTCAGGTGGAAAAGCAGAGAGGAGCACCCGCACCGTACCTCGGACACCATCCTCCCTGTGCCACCCTCGCACCCATCCACACGCCCAGCATCCCATTTTCCTAAAAGCTTGAATGTCTCCTCTGCATTTTGGGGAAAAACCCACCCAGTGGGAGCAGCCAGAGCTCACGGCTGTGCTGCAGGCAGGGGCGGTGGGGAAAGCAGGGCAGCCCCTCTGCGGGCTCAGCTCCCGAGGCTGCTTCTTCCCCAGGGATGTGCACAAGCAAACCCAAAATCCTACAAAGGCTGGAGAGAAACTTCTCCTTCCTCTCGTGCGAGAGTAAAACCACCCAGACCTTGAGCATGAGTCACAGCCGGGCTGCGCCAAGGGCTGTGAAAGTTTTATTTCCAAGTTCTCCGGCTGGCTTCCTCACTCAACCGCAACATCAGGGAAAACCACCACAAAGCCAGAAAAATCCTTTGCCCTGAGCAATGCAACCTGCCTGGGGTCCGGGCACCACTGAGCTGGGTGGGCTGGGATGGGTCCGGGGATGCGCAGGTGCTGGCAGAAGCAGCGATGTCTGGCAGTGGCATCCCAGGAGGTGAAAACATCCCTGTGGAAGCTGCCAGAACACCGGGAGGGCAAGCAGTGGCCCCTGGACCCCCAGGGTGCAGCCGCCATGGAGCCACGTGCCTGCCTGCGCCCAGGACCCGAGACTAAACCACACAGAGAAGGGACCAGCCAGGCAGCAGCAGAGCAGATGTTCTCCATCCCACCTGCAAGGTGACGCGCCTGCTCACCAGCCAGCACAGCCCAGGCAGCCCACGGCCGTGGCTCACTCCTTTCCCCATCCCATGGGGGGTTGCTATCATACTCCTCCTCCTCCTCCTCTTCGTCACCTCCCCTGGCTCCCCATTCACACCCCAGGCTGGCGGGGAAGGACGATCCCTCTGGGAAAGCCCACTTGACAGAAAACAGGCACACGCACCGCGTGCCGGAGGTGCAGCTGCCTAGCTACAGCACCCAAGAATCAAAATAAAACGCCCTTTGTCAGAGATTTATCAGCTCATTCCTGCGATCTGGGGTTACCCATCCAGCCGTGCCCGGGAGCCGCCCAGCAGCGCTCCCTTTCCCTTCCTGGAAGAGGGTTTATGTCCTGAACTGGGTGCGATGGGAGAGAAAACTGCAGAGGATGGGAATGAGAGACATGGAAGGAGAGGAGACCTTGCAGAAGGCAGAGGTACCAGCAGGAGCCTGTCCTGGGGCAAGGAGGGAGCTGGAGCTGAACCCCAAGGTCTGATCCTCTCTTTCCCAGCAGCAAGTCCGAGAGCAGCGACGGCAGATGGACAGAGGCAGCCAGCTCCCAGCGACCTGCTCTGCTTGTCCCCAAAGTGCCCAGCATCTCCTGCCCATCAGTGTGGACAAGCCGAGCAGGCACCGGGGCTCCCTCCAAACCCAGCTGGAGCCAACGTTACCCCAGCCCGCAAGGGAGCCCCTCGCACTCCCACTGCCCACCCGCCTGAGTCACCCTGGCGTCCCTCCTCCTCCTCCTCCTCAGCTATTGAGTTAAATCTTCTTTCTGGGAAGCGGCTGCTGTTACTGCGATGAGACTGAAGTGGTTGGTTTTTTACATAAAACCCCCTTCCAAAGGAATTTGGAACTATTGAAAAAGGACGTTTATAGAAGGAAGATGTGATTTCACAACCTCCTCCACCCATACAGCACCCTGGGACCGATGGGGACAATGAGCTTTGGCCACTTCGGGGAAGCCCTGCCGCCAGCCGCTCCCTCCCAGCCACCGGCTCCCAGAAATTTCCCCGACTTCATTCCCCAGCTGGACATCTCACCTCTGTGCAACACCCCATCACCCCCTCTTTGTGCATTTCAGTGTTTAAACCATCTTCAGGCTTTCCCAAGAGGAGCACAGCAGGAAGGTGTGCTGGAACCTGAAAGCCGGGGCAGATGTGCAGAGGGAGCGTTGCCCTTACATCAGAATTTTTCAGGGGCTGAGATGAGGTGGCAGCTCCTCCACCTGCCTGCTTTTCCTGGCTGGGATGGACGGCTGGGAAATGTGACCACAGGGCACAGAGGGGAACTGTAACACACCAAAATGAGACATCAAGAAGACAGATATCCCCTGCTGCCCGCCCCGAGCTCCCCGGTCCCACTGTCCCCGTGGGAGCGTGGTCCCCCAGCCCAGCAGCGCGTGTTTGACAGATCAGGGCGGCCAGGGAAAAAACTGCTGGCTCAGAACGTGGGGACTCTCCCCAAAGCTGACTTTGCAGCCAGCTTGCTATTTAATCTGGAAAAAGCAAAAATAGTTCTGGCTCAGCTGTGCTGTGGGGACACGGGGACAGAGGCAGGAGCAGCAGGACGCTGCAGGCGGTTCAGTGAAAGACAAACCTGGGGAGAACCCCGGGAGCAAAGGGTTAATGCTGCTGCACGGGGGAAAGCAAAGGATGCTGATGAGGCCACCGCATGCTGCAAGGCAAGTTCCAGCCTTCTGGGTGTCTGACAGAGGCTGTGCTCACACGGAGCGGGATTTCTACACTTCCTGCAAAGAAAATTGCTCAACGGCCTGTATTTAATGCTCAGCCGGACAACAGGAACCGAGACTCCTGCCCCTTCCTTCCCCCACCGCAG